TTTACCTACTCAAATTAAAGGTAAATACATTTATTTTAAGAAAGCCTTTCCTATTTCTGATCATCAAACTCTAATAACAATAGACTATTTAGCTTTTAAAACTATTTGGGTGATTGGTTTTCAAGAGTTAAATGATATTTGTGTCAATTTGTGCCCTTTGCCATTAAAATCTAATCTAATCAGGTCTGGATAAGTCAGGTCAATTGGATTTGATTGATTCATTTGCAGTATCAATGTAGAAGTACAGTGGGGGAAATAAGTATTTGACCCCTTGCCGATTTTGCAGGTTAGGGTTCTCGCCTCCTGGGGTGTCCCTGATCATGCGAACGGTGAGCAATCATCCCAAAACCACAAAGGGGGGAACTGATGAATCAACTGAAGGCAGCTGGGACCTCAGTTACAAAAGAAACGGTTGGTAACACACTACGCCGTCATGGATTGAAATCCTGCAGCGCACGCAAGGTCCCCCTGCTCAAGAAGAAACATGTACAGGCCCGCATGAAGTTCTCCATTCACCACCTGGACGACTCAGAAGAGGCCTGGAAGAAGGTGATGTGGTCAGATGAGACCAAAATAGAACTTTTTGGCCTCAAATCAACACGTCGTGTTTGGATGGCAAAGAACACCGAGTACAACCCAAAGAACACTATCCCCACCGTCAAGCATGGTGGTGGCAACATCATGCTTTGGGGGTGCATTTCAGCCAAGGGGACGGGACAACTCCATGGTATTGAGGGGAGGATGGACGGGGCCATGTATGGTGGAATTCTGGACCAACATCTCCTTCCCTCAGTGAGAGAGCTGAAGATGGGTGGAGGATGGGTGTTTCAGCACGACAACGACCCTAAGCACACCGCCATGGCAACAAAAGAGTGGCTGAAGAAGAAGCACATCAAGGTTCTGGAGCGGCCTAGCCAGTCTCCAGACCTGAATCCAATTGAAAATCTATGGAGGGAGCCTAAAATTCGAGTTGCCAGGCAGCAACCTCGGAACCTGAATGATTTGGAGGCTGTCTGCAGGGAGGAGTGGGCCAATATCCCTGCTGAAATGTGCACAAATCTTGTCACCAAGTATAAAAACCGTTTGGCATCTGTGCTGGCCAATAATGGCTTTTCTACAAAATATTAACATGCTGTTTGTCCAGGGGGTCAAATACTTGTTTTTCCTCATCAGATGGTTATCAATTTTTATAAATTCATATGAAGTGAAATTCTGGAATTTTCTTTGGGATTCTGTCTCTCACTGTTAGAATGTACATATGATTAAAACTATAGATTGTTGCATTCTTTGTAAGCGGGCAAACCTGCAAAATCAGCAAGGGGTCAAATACTTATTTTCCCCACTGTATCTCAGTAGAAGCTAGATCTCTAGTTATAATGAAGCCCCACAGGTTGAAGTTATGTGATTTACAAAGATACTGGCAATAACAGCTCAGACTGCTGCTCTTTTTATTCCGTCAGACTTGGAGTAAAGAGGAGTTTCTTTGAAGGCTGTGGGCAGCTCTGTCTGATAAACTGGTAATTAATCAGACAGGGAGAAAAGCCACGCAGGGTAAAACAGAAGGATAGGAGCTAGCAAACTTGGTCAAATATAAAGCTAACACTACCTAATTAATGCTACCTAATCCTAGCCTGCTATAACATTGCTGACACACAAATGTCCATGGATTAAACTGATGCAATGGTTCAAGATGTCATTTAAATATGATGGATCCCTGCAAAGTTAACAACAGATTCTAAGCAGCAGCCTACCTTCACCACATCCTCATCCAGGAGGAGTCAATTCTACATGAATTAGACCTTTAACCTATTCGCCTGAATGATTTGACTAATCTGTAAAGTCCTTCATGATGACGTGTTTTGTAGATTGACACTAGATAAATAAACAGATTTTTTACTCCGATAAAAACACCTTTTTTGTGCCCTAAGCAAAAATCCTTTGTGTATCTTTTCAGTTGAACTTACTATAAGGTGGCAACAGTTGATGGCTTTGGCTGCGCTGCAGACATTGACCTGGAAATGTAAAGACAAAGTTATCCATTCATTGATTTAGTACATTTTCAACAAGGATTTAGGCTATTCTTAATCATTCCCTGGAATAACTCCTCCCACTCCCTCAAGCTTCTCCCATCAGACACTGTTTGTACCATTAGTACCAAAGTAATGTATAAGAAATTCTTGATCTTCAACATTCATGTTTCTCAAAAAAACAAAAAAAGAACACACAAACTACACACACCGGCCATTCTATTACTACAGGGAATTTCAGGTTTCCTGCAAGAACCCTTCTGCAAGTTTGTATATTCCACCACCTCACTAACTTTCACTATTTTAATGCAAACCACCCCAGTTCCTGTTCATGAAAGTGGAGAAATAGTCTTCCAACACTTTACTACCTGCTCCTGCAACTTGTTACGTTTTGGCAGAGATATATTAATGAGTCCTTTCTAGATCGTTTATTCAGGCAAACCTGGTGAACAACCAGAGTCCCTACATGACCTGGAGCTGAAAAACCAGTCATAACCATTTCAACAAGGCAAGCCAGAGCTCATTTATACCATGACCAGACTTATTTCCTAATAAATGCAAATCTCACAATGTGAAGAAAACAACAAAATGGTGGCAAATTGTTTCTTATTTTATCTTATTCACTATTCAGGTTAGAAAACGACTGACAGTATCAATTCAGTATAAGAATGTTTATGTTGCACAAAGAAAAGCACTGCATATGAATGCACATATTCACCCATTGTCTACATGATGTAAGCAGCACACTATGCTAGCCTATAATTTACCCATTTATCGATTTCCACAAACCTAAGAGGATTGCGGCGACAGTAACATTCATGAAGTTTGTGGAGAATCAGGCAAAGAAAGCAACCTTTGGTGAATTTGCTTGACAGAGTCGGCTTTTGGGAAATGGATATGATAAATAATAATCCAATCAGGGCTTCCAGATGCAAGAAACAACGGCAGACATTGAGGTTCAAAACACCGTTAAGCAGTATCATCACTGGAAATCGTGTGGCACGGTAGGGACGCTAGTATTTTATGAATGTCTGAAATTTCATGGTTACGGAGGCCGATCTGTAAGGAGATGACGCGGTCTGCTAATGCTCTCTTTTAACCCATTTAAACTACCCTTGAAAAACCAATCCATGCAGAGACCGGTCCGAGCTCGAATCAGTTAACCAGGCCGAGCTCTGTTCTGACGACCTTTTAAAAATCACGCTATCTCGGTTCCTCGCCTCCTAGTGACGATCTGCGGTATTACTGCCAGTATTGAAGGAGGAAATCAAGCAGTTGGTGGCAGTAATGCACCAAAAGTTGTTTGCCAAACACCATAAAACACAAGAAGAAGAAGACGAAAAAGGAGGGAATCAAGCAAATCAAAATGGTGCAATAGAAAAAAAGAGGGTCGATAAAAGTTCGATAAAGAAAAACACAGTTTTCCTTCCTTCTCATTGTAGCCTATCATGTAGGTTTATGCTAGTCACTACTTCCTCCCAACCAATCACAATCGCGGACCCAGGCACGCCCTCTCAAACAACAACACAGAGCACATGAAGATGTCGCAGCAAGTAGAGGCGGAGGAAATTGTTCCAAAGAAGGGTTTTTGTAGTTCGCCAGTTTGGCAGTATATACTGCAAAACAGACAGTTAATTATGTAGCTTAATAAGATTTAAAGCAATTTACCTGTTGTTGTGGATGTCATGTTTTCCACTGCTGAATACGCTGAATGCTGCACAGGAAAAAACTAAACTTTAAAACTAATAGTCAGCATGGTGAAAAAACTATAACAGGTTTAAAAGAGCATATATAAACATTTTTCCATAATTTCTCAAGAGTAAAAAACGCACACCTGGGGGAGGGTTAGTATGATTCTTTTTTCTACATAATTTATCAACCAGTTGTTTTTTTTTATCTATTTATTTTAAAAATTACTTTCATATAGAAATTTTTTAAGTATGTATTCAGCAACAATAGTTTTACTGTAGAATAGCCACATGGTAACAACAATAATAGTAACAATATACGAATAAAATGTGCCACTTCAAAGTACGGAGGGTAAAAGATCAATAGTTGTTCAAATGTTGAACATTTTGAACCAATCTTTACTTTTTAAGCATTGATTGGCATTTTATTTAAAAGTTTATAAAACAAAAATAGAATCCAGGCAATTCCTTTACAATGTAAAAAACCCAGGTAAGCCATGTCCAGGACTAAGTCTCTGTTCATGGGTCGTGCGAGCTAACCACTGTGCCACCAAAGCACCCCCCCAAAAACACATGGATGACTCTTAAGGTTGTTCTCCTGAATGACAAAGCAGAAGTTATAGTCTTTGGACCAGAGTCTTTGAAAAAGAAGCTGATTAGTAAGACAATTCATTTGGATGGGATTATTGATCTCAGCTGGCTTGGAGCTCATCTGCACCTGAGTGAATTTGCCCCCCCCCCACCTTCTTTAAATCAGACAAAATGGGTGTCAATTAACTCGGCTCCAAACTTTTCGTTTGTGCTGCTTTGGCTTTGAAGATGTTGATGAAAATGTAAAGATGAAAAGGTCAACCAGCCCCCCCACCTTCTTCAAATTAGACAAAATTGGTGTCAAACGTTTGTGCAGGAAAAATTTTCGTTTGTGCGCTATCATTTTAAAGATATAAAGATATGTTTCTAGAGGTCATCAAAGGTCAACCAGCCCCCCCACTTTCTTCAAATTAGACAAAATTGGTGTCAAATGTTTGTGGTACGTTTGTGCAGCAAAAACAGATGTTATCTGACCTTTGATGACCTCTACAAAATATTATTAATATCCTTAAAATGATAGCAGTACAAATGAACATTTTTGCTATACAAAAATATAAAGTTTTTAAATAAATTATAAATATAAAAAATTTTAAATAAATATGTAAAAAATTTAAAATATAATATATTTATATAAAAATATATAATTTTTTTTGAGCTGCTATCATTTTAATGATATTAATAATTGTTTGTAGAAGCCATCAAAGGTCAATGAACATTCTGAAACTCTGAATTTTATATAAATTATAAGTTGCTAACCTGTGATTATATAATTTTAAACTGTAAAACTTTAAAAAGCGGCACAAATAAAAATTTTTGCAGCATAAACCAACACAAACGTTTGACACTAATTTGGTCTGAAATGAAGAAGGTTGGGGGGCCAACTTCACTCAGGTCTGGTCTGCCTGGCTTTGTATTTCCTGGACCGGGCCGCTTTTTACAGTTGTATTTCTGCTTCTGTCTCCTGGAGTGTAAACGCTTCGCCTATGAGAAAAAGGAGCAGCGCATGAACCGAACGAAACATTAATTAAATAAATAAATAAATACATACATACATACATACACATACATATATACATACACATACATATATACACACACACACACACATATACAAACACACACACATATATATATACACAAACACACACACATATATATATATACAAACACACACACATATATATGTATATATATATATATATATATATATATATATATATATATATATATACACACACACACACACACGTATTTCTAGCTTTCTCTCCACCTCGAGCTTCCTTTCCGAACATACGGCTTTATGATCCACGCAAATTTATCGGGATATAATATATCTGACGAAATTGTTTTTAGAAAAAATTTTATTAAAGTATTATAAACGCCACGATAAACATATTTAATTTTAGTGCCAATTCCGTTTATTTTAGTTGAACTAAGATCAAGTGGTTGATGAGCTGCTTCCCTCCATCAGGAAGCTCATCTTTAAATCAACTATTTTCACCTTTATTTCACCTAAAACCTGTTTTTCTATCATTTATAAAAGATTAAACAGACACACCTGTTTCATCTGATGGAGGAAACCTAAACCGCTGCGTCATCTCCAACCGTAGGGAAATGTATTTCACTAATTAAACAGTCTGAGTGACATTTCTAACTGAAATCTCCTGCTTTAGCAGCAGCTGTGCCGCGTGCTCCCGTAAGCTAGCATGACGTCAGGCAGGCTCACCTTGGGGAAACGTTGCTCTGAGTCTTTATAAAATCCCGCCGTCCATAGCCAGCTGCTTACTGTCCGCGCGCTCTGATAACACTGAGGAGCTAATGAAGATAAAAGCTCTGAAATTTTCTAAACACGTGGAGAAAAAAACACTGCGACGGTATAAAGCAGCAGCCTCCATTAGAGCAGGCAGGGTTACGGGCAGCCCCTCCCCTAATTACTTCCGGTTTGGTAAGCAGGGGAAAAAGGAACAGGCTGTACGAAATATTTGACACCTTCAGGCTCTGAGGCAGCAGGCAACCTCAGAGGAACCAGAACATTCTAGGCCGCTTCATCCTAAATTCATTTATTCGAAATCATTGATCAGACTGAGGATCTGTTCTTTCT